GACCCGTCTGGGCAGCGAGACCTCATCTCTACAATAAATCAAAAATCAGCCGGGCGTGGTCGCGCATGCCTGTAATTCCGGCTACTCGGAGCAGCCAGGCGACCAAGTGAGACTCCAACTCAAAAAAAAAAAAAAAAACCCAGAATCCAGGTTTGTTATCCTCAAGGCTTACAATCTCTGTGCTGTGCCCTCCCCCTCCATCAGACTTTGGAGAGGATGTGTTGGCTCTCCAAGGGAAAACAGATATGACCTCTGCCATACTGTGGTTGGACATAAGAAGACAGCTCAGGGAGTCCAGATCTTTTTGAGTAGAAATGTGCTAGAAGATGCAGATCAGGGTCTCTGCAAGTTTAGTCAAGCCCTGGAGCCCACAGCGTTTCCTGACCTCTGAAAATCAGAGCCTGCCATGAAGTATGGATACCTTCATCAACTCTAAATTGCAAAGAACAACTTTGGAGGACATGTAAGCGACACGATGTTTGTCTATTTTAGTAGAGGATCTTGGAAAAAATTTAATTAGCTCTTTTAGACCAACCAATCTGAACCCATTAATTAAAAAGATTCGAGGCTGTTGTTTAATGGACTTGAATGTGACCTAGGTTTAATTATATCTGAATAACAATATGCATCATCTTTTCTGCCCTGTGGGTACCAGAATATCTCAGAGCACATAAAATAAACACTTTTGGGCTAACTCTTCTAAATCTCCCAATTTTAGAACGAATCTAAAGCAAATACCATGTAATTTCTTGGCAATGAGTTTTTTGTCACACTAATTAGGATCGTAGGAAATGCATTACTTGGAAACATTGAAATAAGTCTCTTGTCACATCTGTCAATAAGCACATTTTTTTCTTGCTTCCCATGTATTCATTACCTGTGACATTACAACGGAGCAGATGTATTAAGGTCAAATAGCACATTTGAGGTTTGAATGACAACAGAGCAGGCAGGCAGAGTTCATTCACCACTGAAGGGCATTCTCCAAATTTCCACACTGGCACCTTAACCACACCAACCTGCTTTTCCCCTAATCTGCTGTTTCCCCTGTCTGTCACTTTGCCAACTTACAGATCTCCGTAACATGGAGGCAAGAGACACTACTACAAGAATGCACTCAAGTGCCAAGGCTTAACTCTGCTGGAGAAAACTGGCCATATTTTATTCATACTCTGCCTGGTCTCTGGAAACCCAAAAGCTAATGAGGATATTCCAGATGATAATACATCTCCGTGGCTACAACTCCAGTTCCATCAATGAATATTTCTAAACAGAGGGATTACAGGCTCTAAAATTAAATTTTTGAACTAATGCTGAGCAAGAGAGAACAGATGAAGCACCAGACGCTTTATTCATGGCAGAAGATTGGGACATTCCTACACATTGACGAAGAGTCCAGTGAAACCACTCAGATTTTTCTGCTCTGTGAGAGGAGAAATGGAATTATTTTAAAGTGCTAAGTGTTGTACTTTACAGAGAATCCTTTAAACATGGATAACGGTAGTTCTTAATCATGGGTTTGATCATTTTTCATTCTCGATGGGGAACACTGAGGATAATCCAAAACAGGAGAAACACACTCAATACATACTTTCCTGACCAGTTTTAATTAGCCAAAGTGATGGGGTGGCTCAGGAGGAAGTTTGAGCAATGAGTCCACCTCAGCTTATCCACTGAATTGACTGGCACAAAATGACCGGAACCACCTGGTGATTAACAGCACAGGCTCTGGAATCAGACCAGGGTTCAGATCCTGACTCTGTCATTTCTTAGTACTGCAACTATGGCAAATTGCTAGATGCCTCTGTTTATGAATTCTCTAGTTATAGGACGTTAGCCAAGGTAACACAAGCTTTCAAACTTCAGTCTTTTTATGTGTACAGTGGGGAAAGTAGTAGTGCTTTATTTCATGGGGTTGCGTAAGGATTACGTGAGATATCTCGTGAAAAGGATGCATTCCAAGGCTTAGCACCGTTAGACCCCAAAGTCCTAAATCCGAGAGACCACCAAAGAGCCAGCTCCAATGCAAACACACGAGAGTCTTTATTCAGGCTCGAGTCTGGGCTCACAAACTGAAACCGACACAGCGGCTCGAGAATGAGAGCCCCGACCTAGTAGAGCAAGTAGTTTATATACACAGTTATGAGGGAGGGACTGGGCGTGACCAGCTTTTCCTAGGCTTGAGACGTTATCCAATTAGAAGAGGGCATGACGTAGAAAACGAAGTCTACGGACCTTGCATAATTAGTTCTCAGTTAGGTCCGCGGTGATGTCAGGGGACAGCAGAGCTTGAGATTGGTTGGTTTGTTTTTGATAGGCGCGGGCACAGGCTTGGCTGCCTGTTATTGACTACTAACAGCCAAACGGGCAGAGTGGAGGTAGTTAAGTCTCCTGGAATGTTAGATAAGCTACGGTTTACAGTCAGCTTCGGTGTACGAGCAGGTTTGAAACAACACAGAGCCCACCAGAAGAGTGGCTGGCGCCACAGAGTCTACCATAATTTAAGCAAAGGAATGTCCGGGAGGGGCTTATTGCTTAACATTCACACACTGCCAGCAGTGGTCGCAGAAGCAGAAGCAGCCGGTTATTTCATTTAACATGGTTATTATGGGACAAACAAAAACTTAACAAAGTTCTAAGTACAAACACTGCAAATATTTTTTAACTTTACGGTCACAGTTACTACCAGGCGCCTTACATATGCCTAGTCTTACGGGGTTTGAGGTAGGGATTTATAAAATACAGTGAACGTGGGGTAGGAATTCATATAGTAAACATTTCTTTCATAGCAAGTATAGTTCTTTTGAGTCCTTTGAGTCTCTCAAGCACATAGTAAATATTTGCAAGCAGTCATTCAAGTTCAAATCCAGACGCAACTTCAGGCAGCTGCATATGCCTGACTTTAGGTAGCTGGAGTTTAGGCAGGCGAGGAGTTATATTTATGGATTTTTACAAGTTGTGTATTTTAAAGTTCTCACTGTTTCATAAAGTACCTGGACTACAAAAAGAGGAGGAACATTCATCAGAGGAGATGAGAGATGATATGGTTTACAGTGAGTGCCACATAGAAAGGCCAGTCCCATGAGTCATATGCTATTGCTAAGTTTTGCTTATTTATTCTTCATACAGTGATTGGGAATCGTTCTCTTCCTAGTAACAGGCATTCTTTTTATACCTTTAAAAAGAATCCACAGAATGACTGAGTATGGAGAACACTTATTCTTCTGAAATGTGATACTTTTGCG